TATTCACTATGAATATTACTTAAATGTCGTTTTATTCCTTTTATATTAATATCAAAAATTTGTAAGAAAGTTTTGACGAATTAATTCTGGTCGGTAATTTTAACAGAATGACATTATCGAGAATTGTACATATATTTATACATATATAATACATATTTCGCACTGAATTCTTTTATGCGATTAAATATTTTGTTTACTAAACCTGGTATGAATAATTGGATAAATTAAATACTCTATAAATATTTATATTAAAATTTCAATAATATTTCATATTAATTCACGAGGTGACCCACATAAATATTTTCGAAAATGTTGATGTTAAAAATATGATTCAGGAAAAATTTAAATAGTATCATGGGACGCATAATTAAATATAAAAGGGATATGATAGACAGCATTGTCTTTTTAAACGTAATTATATATTTTTTAATATTATAATTGGCGTAATCCACTATTTTCTAGAAAAATGTCACTTATAGCAAAAAATCATTAGTTTAAAAGAAATTTTAATTTTAATATTGAATAGCAGTCCACGCATTTAGACTGATAGTTGATTTTCTGAAAACCAACTATAGAATGAACTATAGAACTATTTTACTAATGCTCTTATTCAATATTAAAATTAAAATATTTTAGTAATTAATGACTTTTGCTACATGTGAGTTAGAATTTAATAAGCAGTAGTAGTTAGGTGAGCATTAAATAGTATTTTCAATAATCAAAAATTAAAATTTTGCCTGAGTAAAAATTACAAATTAAATTTGCCCATTTTATAAAATATTAAAATTAAATTTCTCTAAATTTTACGATTAGATGTTTTTAAATTGTTATATATACAGTACAATATAAAAACATAATACATTATAAAGACACATTGTTACATTAAAAATATAGAAATGGTAAGCAAAATTTTTATAAATAAAAATTTTACAGACATCTATGCATAGTGTTGCATGAGTATATGTACCCTTAAGTATACCATATTACAATATAACGTAAATAAACATGTCCTACTTACATCCATAATAAAGAGCACTCGAAGTCAAATTGGTTGTACTATAGCCTCTGTTTATTATTGTCACTAATAATTTTATCACCAATTTTATATTTATTTTTATATACTATTGTCTTATGTAACACTTTTCATACTATTAATTTTTATTATACTTAATACCAAATATTCCACTATAATTAATTTCACTCTTTTTTTTAATGTTTCTTCATATTACTTTATATTTTATTAAACAATTTTTCTAAATTTTCTTTATTAATTTCAAAAGTTTATTAAGTACCTTATTGCGCGGAATTTAACTTTCACTTTTACACGTAAAATACGAGTGCTCTAGTTACAAAACGTCGAATTCCTCTCGAACAATATAACCTTATCTCTGCACGGTTAAATCTGATAAGTGAAGCACACGATCTTGCTAATAATGCTTATAATTTCTGCACTATCAGCAGTCATTCAGTTTCACCGAACTGAAGCATTTTGAATTTAATATTTTTTAATTTTGTGTTTTAATATTTGTAAAATTGCTTCTTTACTTAACAAAAAAATATTTGCATTGGTATCTCAAAAAATATGAAATATATGTATCTAGACATATTGAAACGTTTTCCTTTAGTCAATAATTTATGACTTTTATAAAATGTTGTATTTTATGCTCTATATTGTGACTTAATTATGATAAATATTCAAATTTTTTCATGGTGCATTTTAAACATAAATTTTAATATTAAATTTTGATAAACGTATATAGTATATGTCCATACAGAAATGTAATAATCAATTACCATAATTATTCTCACATTTCACATTTCACGACTCCAGCAGTATCGTATTAAATATCTCAAAATAAACCGTCTCTCGATAATACTTTAACTTCTAATTATTGCGAATGAATAGTTCTAAATTCATTAAAGTGAACACGTTTGACAGAGTTCAACAGACACATCGATAATACCAACTTTAAATTTACCAACACTGCAGACGACGTTTTTATACGCTTGAGAAGTCACGAATTTTTACGATCTAAAGTATTCGCGGAACTTGCAATTCTAACGGGCGACTGCAACTGTTTATCCTACTGTTCATAATCAGCTTTATTCGAGCGTCGTTAATCAGTAAACGCTCGTGCCCAATTGGCCTTAATCGAATTGTCGTTAATTGCAAGCTAGTACACATTAAGGCTTGACCGAATGACTGCAATTGCACGTCGAGTAAACGTGTTACAAGAGATCGTAATCTAGAAATATTTCATTCGGCTCGGTGGTTGAATTATTGGTGCAATCAACGCAGTGGGTAAGAAAGGTTTGTAACTTGTCGACTTTAAGTTACGATTATTTCACCACAGATGACTCGTGTGTAGTATTGCATATAACTAGCCTATTAGAAACTAAGATGTGTCGTTTTAAAAATTGGAAGGATTAGATTCTGCGCAAGGAAAAAATAGTTACGTTTCGAAAACAATTTTTGGAAAAAAGAAATATTTTTCGATTTACTTAAGGAAATATTAACCCTTTGGACTCCACTAGCACCTTTAATTCTAATATCGCTGCTATTACAAAAGTTATATAATTTAATTGACGAGTTATAATAATGAAATAAAAAATTTTAATTTCAAGTGGCGATTTCAATACACAATGTGTACAAACTAACGAGCGATTTAAACTAATTTTTTTCTAACGTAAATTAAGATTTATAACAACATTTTTTTATTTTAAAGGAAAATAAATTTTTATTGACAGATCCGTTTATTAACAGCATTTTCAGAATTCGACTCAAATTACAACTTATTTACATTAATTACTTACAATCAGATTACCCAGACACCACTTATTAGTTTCTTTGTTTTTGGTTCTAAGCTCATGATTAAGACAATTTGTTATTAATAATATATTTAATAATATGCACATTTTTTACAATTTACAGTTACGTGTTTTCATCATTGGAACTACATACTTTTTTGTATTACTTTGTTAAAAAATTATCTGACACCACGCAATCGATGTTATAGGTACCTATTTCTTGTTTGGTGTCAATAGAAAGTTTAGAAAGCTCTTCTATGGTAAGGTAGAAGTCCTCGTTCGTATTTACAGATACTAGTGTTATTTACGATCGTTATAGTAGAACCACTTCTACATCAAACTTACAGGGTGAAAAAAGTGTTTGGACAATACCATAGTTATTTTTTTCATATTATATTTATATTTATATCACTTTTGTTTATTTAGAAAATGTACTGAAATAAAAATTTCATTTATGTAAATAGAAATCAAAAGTTTTATTAATTAACCATTGCTAGCTTTAAATTTTGGGTTCCATTTTAGTCTTGTATTCAACTCTATATAGTCTCCCTTGTCTCATTGTTGTTAAGTCCATTTAAGTACAATATCGTCTACATTTCCAGTTTTTGGATTCGTTAAGTTTCTCGTACTAATAGTAACATCTGGAAAGTTTATATCTTTCATCAAGTTAGAATTTACATTTTTGATCTGTGTGTATAGGCTTGACAACAGCATTGTAAGTATTTTTATTAATCTTCTTAAACTTTCGTCACTTTCGATCTCTGATTATTTTGCATTTTGCTCAAGTAGTTAGAAGTATCCGTTTTTTGTTTAAGTACTATTATAATACAATGCACTATTAATTTCGTAATAAGTTCTTATGATTAAGATTTGTTTGGCGTAATATAGGATAATATACATATAAAAGTATATAAATTGTGTCTAAGTACTTTGCTATAAAACGCTATTTTGATTATATAATGTTCGGATATTAGGACATCTGAACAATGGCGATTCGAATACGATGGATTCTAGTATAGTACCAAAATGTTTTTAATATTTTGAAAACTAATAAATTCCCGGGGCTGAAATTTGATATTTAAAATACATAACCCGACTTCTTTCAAATTTGGTACTTGACGTGTTTTGTTAATTTTCTTTTTGGTAGTATCAAGTAATAATTAGTAATTTAAATTATATTTAAGAAAAATTTACATGTTATTTCAGAACTGGATGTTTCTTTATGTCAAAAAATTTTTACAAAACTTTTTGTTCCACTGTTTACGTATTTTTATTTTCAAAAATTTATGTATTTCATTTGGATAATGAAATATATTTTAAATAAAATCGAATTATACATATACGTTATTTAAAATGTGTTAATGATTATTTCTGGAATAGTTGTATCGGATAATATTCTTTTCAAACCTTTTTTCTTTAATTTTACATATTTAAGTAAATAGGATTTGGAAGATAAGGGGAGAAATAAAAACACATATATTAATTAAATAAGATATCTGCATTTTACAAAGCAATAAGTTACATATGAATCCTTATATAAGAAACCAAAGAACTGAGTCGCAGCTCGCGTTTTATAATACAAACTGTATAGCCAATGTTATTGGCTACGTATAGCGAAGTGTTAAAAAAGCGTAAAATGCTTTCCATTTCTGAAGAAGTAAGGCTCTGATATTTCGTTCTCCATGATACGTTACATGTTCATACTTTGGGCCGTTGGAGAGGCAATCATTTGGTAATTGTGCACATGAACGTGTTTTCATGTCTCGATACCACTGTATCGAGAAGCTCGATATTTTTCCCTTGGAAGACTGGAACAACAATGTAGTCCGTCGACAAAAACTACTGTCGGATAATATAGCACCAAAACGCGTAGTAAAAAGCAGAATATAAATAGCCACGACATCAACACGTTTTTTAGAAATCGGAATTAGCACCACCTACGAACTTGTCATCTTTTCGATTATGTTGAGAAAACAGCCATGAGTAAAATTATGCTAACTATAATCGTAGAAATCGACGGATTTCACTTAATATTATTCTTCGGTTCTTGTTTAAAAATTTTACTCTAGCATGGTAGACCCTTGTATATATAATTAACATATATATATATATATATATATACATATTATATATAATTATACATATTATATGTATATATATAATCAATGATTTGATTTTTCGTCTATAATTTTGATTCGCTATCGTAAAAATTTGATGTGACCGACAGTGGTGACGACGTTGATAGTAAGAAACTAAATCTAGCGATTCTGAACTAGTATGTCCTTTTTCTTCTTTCGATATTCTTCATATTTGTTTATCTTTGTTGTTCGCCTTTCAGCCTTGTAAATCAACAAGTATCCGCGGATGATTCGACGTGCGGCAATTCATCACCAATTTTTTCGGCTATACGTTGTTCAGTAGGTTCCTTATCTTTGTTTTCGTCGGATTCAAGATCCGACAACTGTTCGCATCAATCACTAAAAACAAAAATGGAATGATTCTTATAATGCGATGTCATATATAGTATTGTAGTTTTAATAATTTTGTACTATAATGTAAAAAAATACATAATGTATTATCATAAAAAAGAAAAAAAAAACTGTTTATTACAATTGCTATGCTATTCCATACATCAGTATATTAATTTTCTGTTACGATTTTTAGATTTCTCCTGTATAACTTTTGACATTAATCATATATTTAAAAAATACAATATTTATTATATTTTATCGGATTTTTATATAGAGTATTCGCTCATTTTAATCGTCAAACTATATAGTTTTTATAATAATAAGTAATACAAAAAACATGGCAAATAAAATACGACATACAAAATTTTATAAAATTACTAACGTTGTGTATATTTTTGTTATTAAAACCTTCTGGTATATTTTTTTATATTTAGGCATACTTTGTCCTATTATAATATCTATGTATTTGTTTCTATCCATGTATCACAGTAGTACATCAATTCGTATAATTAATAAATTAAGCAATTAATAAATACCTATCGCTGTTTTCGGTTGTTCCTTCCTCGCTGCAGTCCAAATCAAGTTCACCTTGAATGGCGCTTTGTAAATCATCGACTCGTTGAAGCGCCAACCTAAGATCGTCTCTAGCAACTTTGGTCTCCGCTTCAATAGCCTCGAGGGATTTTTCCATTTCACGGCGCGCACGCGTGGATTCCTGCTCACGTGCAAGCGCCGCACTCGCTTCTTCCCTCGCTTCGCGTAACGATCTTTGCAATCTTCTCGCTGCGTCTTGAGCACTCTGTTCCTTTGTTCGAAGCAACGCTGTTTCGGTTTGCAACTTCTCAACGTTTTCTTTCAATCTTGCTATTTGAGTCTATAATAGAAGAAAGATAAATGAACTTTTATCCACCAACCTTTTAATTTTTCAGATATCTGTAACAAAACTATTTTATTTCACTTACTTCTAAGCGTGCTCTCGTCGTTTGTTCCAACTCGAGTTTACTTTCTAATTCCTTGGCGCGAAACTCGAGTCGTCGGGTGGCAAGGCTATTTGCAGTTGGATCGCCAAGTTGTTCAACGGACTCGAGCCGTTGAGTCAGCTCTGAGAGTTGATCCTTCAACGACGATTTTTCCGCTTCTAGTGAAGCAATCTGTACCTGCGCTTCTTGTAACTGGCCCTGTTCCGCTGATACTTGCTGCACTGCCGCCCGATACTTCTTCAAGACCTGTGAAAATAAAATAGTTATCATGTGTGGTCCATATGTAGTAGTAAATTTTACCGTGTAGAGATAAGATGATTAGTAGAAAGAATGTGCATTCCATCATAGTGTAATAGAATCATCTCGTACCGTATAATTATGTTATAAGATTTTTAAGTGTGTCTTTCATTACACTTCTAGGTATTCTTTAAAAGAGATAAGATATAGAGAGATAAAAGTAGTCAATATAAATAAATTTAAAGTAGTCTTGTAAAAGGATGTATTCTATGTAAGTGGAATATCAAATAATTAAATTGGGAACGTACTTCTGCCAATTCTTCTTCATTTTCTTCCAATTGCGACAGCAATTCAGTTCGTTCACGATTAGCTACATTAGCCCGTTCTTCCGCTTCAGAACGTTGTCGTAGAGCTTCCTCCAATGAAGCTTGTGTCTCATTTAGTTCTTGTTCCAGCGCCTGTTTTGCTTTAACCGCAACTGCTCTAGCACACTCTGCATCCTCCAATTGATTTTTCAATTGTCTTAGAGCTGCTTTACCCGTTGAGTCACCCTTTGATCTCTCAAGCATCGTTTGAGCATCTCTTAACAAAGCTTTGGTTCTCTTTAAGTCTCTTTTCAGCCTGTTACATACAAGTAAATCAAACAGATTATTACATAAGTAACATGTACAACTAAAAAGAACATATATTATAAAATATAGAATAGAACAAGTATCAAATATTTAACAAGAAATTATCTACGGTAGGTATAATTTGTTATTCTTGCACCATTTTCAATGTATATGGTGATTTGTGTATTTTTAATATGAAATAAATTTTTTCAGAAAATCGGAAGTATACTAATGACATTTCTTTGTATTTTCTAATAGAATTTTAGTAAAATTTTATACATTAACATGGACGGTTCATAGTTCTCTCTGTTTTTTTCTTTTTTTTCATTTATGTGTACTGAACCTTAAAAAAAAAAAAATTTATTAAAATCGTATAGCGATGTGATTGAATAGTCTATTTGTTACGTATATGCTCTTTTATATAGCAAAACTATTATAACGTTATAAGTAGGAAGTAGATTCGGAAAAATTTTATTAATATTCACGAAATAATTTTTTCTTTAGAATAAAAATTTGGTATGACGTTACTTCGTTCAAAGTTTAGAAAGCTCCTAAATTCGTAGATTAAACAGATTTTCAGGCTCGTTATATCATACCAGACATAAAACCGGATATAAGTTCGCCTATAACAAGTACCTATGCGTGGTTTCAGCTTCTGCAGCGCGTTCTGCACGATCCTGTTCTTCGATAGCTACCAAACGACGTTCCAGTTCGTGCTTCTCGCGCAGCAATATCGTCCTCTCCTCATGTTCGTTCTCCAGCTGCGATTCCAGAGCTTTCACCTTTTTCAATGCATTACCACGTACATCTTCCAGCTCCTCATCCCTCTGTTGCATCTCTTTACGTATTTCCTTGCGTTGCTGCTCGATGCTCATCTCGAGCCTCAGCTTCGCTTGCTCGAGCAGCTGCACCTGGCCTGCAAGGTCGTCCAACTCCTCTTCCTGATCCTTCGCTCTCTTCTCCAGTTCGTGCTTCGCCTTCTTCAGTTGTGCTACTTCCTCCTCCGTTTTACCGCCAAACGTTAGCTCCTCAAGCTCCTGACTCAATGTTCGTAATCTTTCTTCCTTTAATTCAATTTCCAGTCTTGCATCCTACAACGAAAAACAACAAATGAGAATAGTTATAAATGGGAAATTGATATATATTTTTTTTTATTTAAGTCTACAAATTCTAAAAAAAATTTAAGAAAGAGAAAATCGAATCGTTGATAAGTAATTTTTGCAAGTATACTTACGCTAAGGTTCTGTTCTATGGTAAACTTCTCCGCAATCGCAATTTCTTTTTCTCTGGCCAATCTTTCACGTTGCGCTTTCTCTTGGCGTAGATCGTTCATCAAATTCTGAGTTTCCGAATCGAACCTACAAAAACAAATAGAACGTGAATACTAAACTAAAAATTTGCGAGTATCTGGACTGTCATTCATTCATCTCGACTCGTACTTCATGATTTCGCATATTTATCGAGTATCAGTTTATCGACACGCGGAAACGAAAGAATCTCCGTTAGTGTCGCGATGTCAATACATTACGATCCCAATCCTATAAGGGACTGCGCGCATGCGCATGTTTTCATCCCACTGAAGGATGCACGCAGATTGATCTTTGTCTTTTTTTCCTTTTGTATTTTATCGAAGTTTACGGATTCGAAAAAAAATAACGGATTTTTTTGTTTTAACAGAAAAACTATTGGAATTCGTAAAATTGAGGAAGTTATGAACCTCGAAGTATGAAGCCATCGAATGAGGAACTGCACAGCAAAGGAGATCTCAACGATATTATTATTTCAATTATTCGTGATTCCTGCACTGTAAATATTTTTTTCAGTTCACATTACAATTGATTTGTCAGAAATTTACAATAATTTTGAATTTTATTGTCTTGTAATAGCAGACTGATTAAGTATAGTGAGGTTCGGATCGTCCCGTGCTACGTTGAACTGACAGACACGATATCTCAAATTTTAATCGACCGATTGACTTCAAATTTGAATTGAGTTTTCAGAAGACGTGCCTTCGTCGTTGGAACTATGGATTTTAAGATTCGACGTAATTTCATTTTTTTTTTTTTTTTTTTTTTTTTTTTTAAATTGGAACGTAAAAAAGTAAGGAGAAAATAGGTATTCGATTTTCAAAGTGCTGTCATTTTTTTAAATTTCGAGACTTTTTCTTTTTAAATCTGCTTGGGTATATCATTATATAAGTCCTGCAATTTTTAATATATTATCTAGAAAAAAATTGTGTATATTGTTGAAACACGAATAAATAAGATGGCGAAAACCTCGAGTTAAATTTTTTTATGGTTTCATTACGAAAAATTCTTAAAGATATCCTTGCTTTTGGCCTGAATTTGCAGATCTCTTTAGGTTCAACGCCAAAATTTTGATTGGGATAAATTTGAAAATTTGGAAAAAGGATGCTAATTCTATGGGTCCAATGATCTTTCAAATGTCGCACAACGAAATTAGAACATCCTAGAATACCGAAAATTCTGCGAAAGCAACTCAATCACGCTAGTTCAGTACCGTTTACGCAAAAGTTTCCAAAAATACCTCCTACATGGTGGCGATGGAATAAATGCGAGTCGTTATTGAAATACCGGATAAAAAAAGACGTAGAAGCTTTAAGGAGCACCTACTTGCGCTGTTTCTTTTCTAGAAGATTATTCCTGGCCGTTTGTTCTTCTAGCAGTAGTCTCAGGTCATGCATTTCGCCATTTAGTTTTTGCACGCGCCTCTTCCATTGTCCAACGACCTGACGTTGTTCCTCGACCTCTTCATAAGCATCAGCTAACTGGAAAACGAAAGGACATTATGTTATTTACTATTTCTAGTTTAATTTTCTATTATGATTCAGATACAGAAAGTATTGAGAAAAAGAAATTTAAGATTTGTGGCTGTTAAAAGTCAAAATTAAATTATTTTGAATTTTACTAAAGATTTTCTTGTTTTTTTTTTTGTTTATTTTTAGATTCTAATATTCTTAGATTATTGCACATTTGATTTTTTATTTGGTTTTTGTATAACAATTAATGTATGACATTTATATATTTTATGTTATATGGAATTTTTGGCATGTAAGATATATAGAGATATAGATATAAAAAATGTAATATACAAAATTTGGAAATTATTTATGTCAGTATGAGAGTATGTATCTTTTAATTTCATTTTGATGAAAATACGAAATTCTTAATTTCTGTAATTTCAACATTTGGTTACTTAAAATACTTATATCTTTATACATTTGGAAAATATTTATTGTATGAGTTCCTATGAGCAATATTTTTTCTTATTTTTTGAATATGTTACACTCAGGTGGATCTGTGTTCTTAAGATAAATTATCTCAAGAGCTACTGACAAGTTTTTTCTGCATATAGAATAATAATAGACAGGCATAAATTAAATCTCTAATTTCAGAAAAATCTTATGGAAGACATATATGAGGATATATTCACAAGCCAAAATAATTTACTCCACTTTCTGAATTTTAAAAAATTTTAATGTCAAATCATTTCTAAATTAAAAATAATTTTCAACATTCTGTTTTTTGTAGTTACTTGATTTAACAAGTAAGAAATTTGTATTGTAGAGTTTGTGCGAAACAAATTGTGTCTTCTTCTTGGACCCTAAATAACGAGCTCAAGTGATAACTTCAGAATAATGAAATTTTTAATATTTTAATATTTGTAACTTTGACTTATCTGAATAGAAGTTGCTTTTTGTGTGTTCACGACTGATAGTTTAATAAGACATTTCTAATAGATCCCTACTTTATGAAGATCAACGCTCTCAATAAGAGGGTTCTTTATTATTGAATTAAAGTAACTTAAACGTAATCAAGTTATTGTTAGAAGCACAGAACAGTGCACGTGTACCAACTATATATGTGTTATGAGTGGATGGAAAGTTGGCTAACAGAAGGAATGTGATTGGTCATAGTATAATGGGACCTGATTCCTGACACAATCATAAAGGCAAGGTACACTAATTTTCATTACTAGCTAAGAGTGTTATACCTACAAGTGACAAAGACAAGATGCATCAAGACTGAATGTGATAGACTGATAAGAAGAGATACAAAACATTGGCATAGATGTAGACTCATGAGCAGTGATCAGCCTTTTTGTTGAAAGGGTACTCCGAATGGGTTCACATGAAAATCATATGGCAGAATAGTTTTGTAAGTCATATACAAAGTTACATGAGAGGATGGCAATTACTTTTTTCTTTGTATAAAGCCTGATCAACTATCTTGACAGTAAAATAAAATAAGAAAAATTAAATCAGTCTACCAAGAAGTCTTTGTTGGATAAATTCTAGAAAAATATGTCTCCCCTTAAATACAATAAATCAATATCTTCTTGTATGTACTTAGATAATTATCATAAATTGCAAATGGCTAAAGTACATTCAATTTTAAGCACACATGGACAGAAGCCACGTGTCGTACACCCTACTTTGCCGACCTCTTCTCAGGAGTGCTAACTATTAAGATAAGATAAAACCCTTGCCGACATAACTTATCCTACTACTATACCAGCCTATGCCACCAGGAACCTGAAAGTGAAGACTTTGGAAGCATTGAAAGTGAACTTTCATTCCGACCTGCTAGACATTTCTCCAGCAACGCATAAGTACTCTGCTACAAATAACTTAATGCACTCTACAGGTGATCCGCAGTCACCACTTGATTAGAAATTGAAACTCTAATGACAAGAGCACACAAGAGAAATGATAAAGTTTGATGGCCAATACTAGATTTCAAATAATACAGCAATACATGAAATACTGAAGTGAAAGAGTTCTATTGGTTAATATAAATGTGACTATACTATAGAAAAGAATATCATCCACCATATGAAGAGGAAGCTTCAAGTTGCTACTTTACTATAATAAGAACATCTGCACATGAGTTGATAGCAGTTTGGTGAATGACCAGTTGGTGTTCTTTTTTAGGTGTCCATCTACTCACCTTCTTCTCCAACTGCTTCTTAAGCCCGACCAGTTGTTCCAGATCGTCCTCGTGCTGCTGTGCCATCTTCCTCTTCGTGAACTCTAGCTCCCTCACGGCATGCTCGTATCTCTGCTTGTAAACGCCACCGTCCTCGCCGTCTTCAGCGTCAGAAGCCACGCCGTTCAGGTCTGCGGCCCTCGCATACAAAAGTTCCATCTCCAGACGTTCGGTCGTTTGCTGAAGATTCTTGTTTGCCTCGGTCACATCCTGGAGTTCACGCTCGAGTCGTAGGCGTTCGGACGTTTCGGCGTCGATTCTCTCTGCTGCCAGCGTCGATGTCGAGTGCTCTTCCGCGAAATCGGCGGTCATTTCGCTCAGCTGTAATAAAAAGCAAGACAGGAAATTATTTACGATTCATTTGTGTGAGTACGATGGAATTTATCTGGGCCGAGTCAACAGCGTTTGATGGTATGACAAATTGGTAAATGGGGTATATTTGGTAGCTCTGTCATATGAAAGAATAGTGGTTTGAGTGTTTTTGGATCTGACTGAACAAATGATGGTGCTTAGTCAAAGATTTAGGACTCCCATTGGACTCTTTTTGTAACAGTAAAGAATTAAAATATGAATATAAGTATACAAGGATAATGTGAGTCTGAGTTAGTTGAAGGTGAGCTATAGTCAGTCAGAGGTAGAGGCAGAGTTTGGAGTAAGAATTTAATGAAGTGTTGGTATGTTATTAATCATTATTATTAAATCTTATCTTCTTTATTAGGTATAGATTTATAACTATTAGGTATAGTTATATTACTGTACCTAGTATAGTTATATTACTACACCTTGTACTATTAGGTATAGTTACTATTATGTAACTATTAGGTATAGTTATGTTCTCTTTACTGTAAACTTTGTTTATCGACATGCAATTGTCATCAGCATCCAAATTTTTCTTCATTTTTAAACGTTGTTAACTCACTTGTGACCTTAAGTCTTGTTTCTATCGATGATGGTGTTTAGTACAGAATTTGTTCCATTGTTTTAGACAAGGGTATTTGCAATACTGAAGACGTTGGAATTATTATCAGCTGAATATGTGTTTTCTAGGGACAGACTTAGGTATTGTGAACAATTTGGAAAGTTACTGTTTCAAATTATTTAAAAAATAATCCACTTTTGAATTATATATCAAATATCCTATAATATGCATCATATAAAAAGTGAATCAATGTATTCACAAATAAATACATTTTTTGATATTTACAATAGTTATTCATTATTTGGTTTCTTACTTCTTATTACTGCTTCTCACTAACACTATTATCATGATTATTATTGCACTTATTATCCTATACTTATCTTCAGAAGAACATTTTATTTTTTCAAATAAACAATTCCCTAATTCACTATCTAGATATTACCAAATAAACAATATAGTAACAAGTGGCCTGCTTATTTATCAAATAATATTTAATGCTATTTAAAATAATCATTCTTAAATTATCATTTCAAATAAATTTCTGTCTGTTCTTGAGAATCATTTTATGTAATAGTGACAGTTTCCTATATGCATAATTTACCATCCCAGGATTTACCATTCTGATTTACAAAAGAAATAAAATAAAAATTCGTTTTGTTCAAAGACTAAATACTGATTAAATACTAATAAGTAAGAAATTTGGTATCTTTGTCAAAGACAGCACACGTTCAATGCTCAAACATGTTACTGCAATACATCTTAGAAATTTGTACCCTTCAACGTGAGTTACATAACAAATGAAAAATAGAAGCGGACTCTGAAGCTACATAATTCAGCATAATAATAGTAACGAGAATATTAACGAGGAAAGAAGAAAATACAGTTTCGAAGTTTATCCGCTTCCTTAAGTCGAATTTCCAACTCGTTCTCATTCACAACTCGCGCATAACCGATCGAGAGTGCTCGCTTTCCTGAATACTCTCCCTAGTAGTCTGTCTCGTGGATATACGTATGGTCTATGCGAGTGTGTTATACACTATATACACATTCGTGTTTGCTTCCTTCAAAGAAAACAGACACGAAGCCAACGGAACACTTAGCACTGAAAAAACACTGCTAGATCGATTTTCACGAAGTATCATTACATCGGTGCGCGTTGGACCACCCAGTGATACCCTATTATGCTGCGCTTGTTTTCTAGTAAGATTAGCTTTTGATACTATATTTAATACGGAGCTCGGAAAATACGTCTCTAAATGTCGTGTTCGTTTTAGAACACAGGATGAAGTTGTAAATTCTGATGTTTGAAGTTAGGGGTTATGTCATTTCTTTGATCAAAGATATCGACGTATAACTCTGTGTAGGATGGTGTTTTGATCTTGGTCAATAAATTGAATAATAAGAATGCTGTGCGACATTATATGGTATATAGTAATTCTATAGTGTAGAGTATATATATACTTATGTGTAATAAAATATAGAAAATACTTGGATATAAGAATATGATAATGGGTATATAGAATATAATAATATAATAAGTAATAACTATAGTGTGTAGTTGGTGAAAATTATCCTATTCGATAGATGGATTGTCTTATTTAATAAAAGTTAGATATTGGTGTAAATTGGTTGTTAGATGTTTGGTTTGACCATGGAGCAATGATTTTTTCTTTAGAATAGGAAAATTTTTAATTATGAGTAGTTTTATAAGAAATGGAAATAGTAGATATGTTTCATTGTCTTAGGTTTTCAATAAGACTCCATTTTATTCTGAAGTTATACCTATTTTAAATATCTATTATTGTATTAAATTTGTAGAAATTACATAAGAAGCTATTATGTTACCAAATGACCATACTGTACATCTGTACTTTGGCAGTAAATATTCAAAACAGTTTCCAATTTCAGTGCAAACTCAAAGACATTTTACTGCTGAATTAACTCTCTTAGAATGGGGAAATTTTCAACTATGAGTAGTTTGATGTTCTATAATAAATGGCAAGAATAGATATGTTACATTGTCTTAGGTTTTCAATGAGACTCCATTTTATTCTGGAGTTGTACCTATTTTAAATATCTATTATTGTATTAAATTTGTTGAAATTGCATAAGAAACTAATGACCAAGCTATACACCTGTACTTTTGCAGTAAATATTCAAAACAGTTTCCAATTTTAGTGCAAACTCAAAGACATTTTACTGTTGAATTAACTCTCTTTTTATAAAAGAAGATTGAATATTATGTGTTTAATACTTTATAACTACTGGTAACTATAAAAAAGTACCAGATTGAGATAGTCATGTGATCACCATAGCATTCTTCTAACTCTGTATTTTGCTTATTGCACAAATGCCATAACTGCTTAATAAGACAAAAAGAAAAGGAAATATTTCTTAGAACTATCTGTGAATATTTCATACATAGCCCTTTAAACGTGTCCTAAACAAATCTTTTACTGAAAAAGTATCCTTCTATTGTACCATAAAGTTTGATAGATTGCAGGAAAAGCATTAGCAAATCTGCAGATGAAACACTTGCATAAAATTCAAAATTACCAACTAAACACCTAACAAATCAGTTGACTTAAGAATGAAGCTGCAACTCCAGAGCAAGGGAGCAATAAAAAGGAAGAGAAATGATTATTCGAATGCACAGGAGACGTGCAGTATACCTCTTGACCGACACTGTCGGAGATGGTCCTGTCTTCTGAGGCGCGCGAGAGGGACCGCCTGGAACAGCTTTTCGCGACGCTGTTTGACCTGCTGTAATACTGATAACCACGAATCATGATGTTCGTAGCGCTTTGGCTCCTGCCTATTACGCCCCTGTCCTTGCCTCTAGGCAATTGCAGACTGAAGTCGTCATCAGACTCATCCCTGTGACCCAAGCTACGCCACTCGTCCATGATATGATCGGTCCTCTTGAGAAACTGCGAGATCTTGGAGGACAAGTAGGAAGAAGCAGTGGCGGGCTCCATGTGAGAAGCTGTCGGTCTGAAAGACTGCCTGACCCTCTGTTTGTCGCAGCCCAGCACGAAGTTTAGACTAGCATCGAACACCACTGGAGCCTGTTCCTTCACAGCCACGTCCTCCATGGACCCCAAACAGCTCGTGTTCTCCATAGGGAACATTCTCCTCGGAGGAGTAGCGAAATTCGTCGGCGAATCGAAGCCTGTACGTCTCGAGGACAGGGCAGACACAGACCTCGAACGACAGGAGAGACTGGACGAGAGACTACAAGGCGATGGACTCCTGGTCAAGCATAACGCGTGCAATTTGCTGGTTGGTCTCCTGAACGGTGGTAATGGTGGTCTCTTGGTCACCACGATCGGCGAAGACCTCTGAGAATTTTCCATAATCGCGTCGCTCGAGTCATTAGACCTACTGGCTAATATCCTACTAGCCAGGGACTCCTCGAAGCCCTGCAAGCTGTCGCTCAAGACGGACGACATCGAGTTCGAATACATGGTCGGTACTGACGGCATCCTGGCAGTTCCTTATCTTCCTCTTATCCTCAATTCTGACCTCGTCTCGTCGACATAACCTCCACTTGTTGCAGGACACTGGTCTGAGACATTCGCTGGGACATGCTTGGGGTACCCCGGTGCTCCCTATTCCTCGTCGTAATGAAATCGCATAACGTCGTGGTGGACAATGACTCTCTGGCAATCTTGTTTACGATCCTTTCGCCGATATCGACCACCCTGTCCAGCAACCAGTTGCGCGGGATGTTCAGAAGCGATCGAATTGCATGATTGCTATAGAGAGGCTGGTTGGTGGAGCTGGGTACTCTGGTTCGGTTCGATCGGACCGGCTGGCACGAGCATTTAATTGCGTAACGACGTCGTCGACGCCCGTATCGAGAGGGAGTCGCGGTGCAACTGGCTACTACTCTTCCTGGGTCAGCCGATACAGGGCCGGTTGGCGGTGTGGTCTGTTGGTGGAGACGGTCACCTCCGAGTTATTCTAAGGGAAACGGGGCGCGAGCGAGATGGAAAAGCAGACGGGGAGCAGCGCGGGATGGAGCACGGGCCACGGTCTTGGACCACCGCCAAATCTTCGTCTTGAGTGTCTGGGCGGGCAGAGGAGCAGCAACACGTCGTAGGCGAGCAAAAAGAGCCGGTCACGGAGCCGGACAGGAAGCAGAAAATCGTTCGATCGTTCGGCTGAAATAGTCCAACGGCGACGGATCGAAAGGTCGCGCGAGTGAGACGGAACCGGTTAGAAATCGCGGAACAATACCAGCAGCCATCGGGTAACTGGCGGCGCGGGGTAGGTGGCAATGCCAAGGTCGTGAGAGGAATTTTCATACGACCATTACCTGCCAGCAGGCAGGAAATGTCGGTCACTGGAACTTTTATCTGAGCGTGAGGCAACGCCGAGGTCGGTGCTACCCGTGATGCTCCGCTGATCAGATCCATAACGCGATAAACGGCCCGCGGCACGCTTCGGCTCACGCAGTTAACCCAATTGCACGATACAGGGATTGCGAGTACTCGGACAAACGACGGTACTTAACGAACTTTCCTCTGCCTCCTGGACAAGCGAGATCTAGCCGGGTGTCGATTGTTTAGCGAGATATTCTTCATGAAGGATGAAATTGCCCTGGTAGGATGAAGTAGGTAAATGATCTATAGGACTTTCCTCGGTTACCAATGAGACCAACTGTTTCGAGAGATAGCTACTGCTGCTGGATCAGATATAACGAATGACTCTTGCCATTTCCTTTGGGGATATTCTGCTCGATGAGGTAGACAGATGTATGGACTCGTTTCTAAGCTACCGTCTTAATGAGAGGTTATGTTTTGATAAGGAATTTTAGATTTAGGTGGAATTTGTGAGGTAAGTGAACTATTGTTGTTGAAAGGTGTCTAAATGTGAAAAATATAGGGGTAATTTTAGAGGTAGATGCTTTTTGTTTAAGGATGAATCTTAATGCTGACTAGAGTGGGTATTAAGAATTTCAATTAAAAGTCTCAAAAATATTTTGATCTTTGGTGTTAAAGTTGGAGTTTTAAATGAGTATTTTTGGATATTATAGATTTAGGGAAAAAGATAGTGACAGAGTTTGAAGCACCTTGAATGCACTTCTGTATACTAAGGTATATAAATTTCTAAAAGCTTCTGAACTTTTTTACAATAAATAAGAGATAGCTAATGTTGTTGGATCAGATATAATGAATGATTCTTGCATTTCCTTAAGGGATATTCTGCTCAATGAGGTAGTCAGATGTATGGACTTGTTTCTAAGCTACTGTCTCAATGAGAGATTATGTTTTTATAGGGGATGTTAGATTTAGGTGTAATTTGTGAGGTAAGTGAACTATTGTTGTTGAAAGGTGTCTAAATGTGAAAAATATAGGGGTAATTTTAGATGCTTTTTGTTTAAGAATGAATCCTAATGCTAACTATAATGGGTATTAAGAATTTCAATTAAAAGTCTCAAAAATATTTAGACTTTTGATGTTAAAGTTGGAACTTTAAATGAGTATTTCTAGATATTATAGATTTTGAGTAAAAGATAGTGTTTGAAGAAACTTGAATGCACTTCTGTACACTAAGTTATATGAATTTCTAAAAGCTTCTAAATTTTCCTACAATAAATATTATTAATAATATTAACTTACGTCTTATTTTCTGTAAGATTGTATTAGAAATGACTATTTAGTATTTATTTTGCAATAACAATGGTGAAACTTTTAATGTAATGTGGATTTATATGTTTAATATTATGCTAATTATTATTTTGGATAATAAAAATTATTAAATAGTTTTCATTATCTTAAATGAAATTGTAATATACTTTTAAAACAAATAATATTTTTAAGAATTTATATAAAATAATAGAACAGAGGAAAATATACACCAAGGACTTTTGAGAATGGAATGACAAATGTCTCTGTTTTCAGATATTTCTCTCCTATTCCAATAATACTTACCTAAAGCATTTTGAAAGTGTTACATAATCAAAAAGTTATATTAGGAAGGAAACTTAAAAGTGGAGACAAAATGTATAAAATACTTTAAATACTTTTTCAATTATTTGAAATGCAATTTGTGTCTGAACACATTTAATGTAACAATAAACAATAAACAATAATTTCTTTCATTTGCTTAATGTATATAATGCAGTATCCCTGGTTTCATTTTTAATTTATTCTTTTCTCCTTGTTTCCAAACTACTTCTTGGTATATCTCTGTGATTATGTAAATTAAAAAAGATGCTTTCAAGCAATATTGCTAGAACTAAGGAGGGCTACTTCAGAATATAAATTATGTAGATACACTTCCTTTGTTCCATAGTGGTTCAGAAACGGTACTTTATCAGTGACATGAAAGAACAAATATTTTGTCATTATCTTCAAACAGTTACAATGGAAAGAACATGTAACACTTTAAGTTAGAACATCCTGAATGTATCAGGTAAACAGTTTACTGGTTATTAGTGGATTAGAGGTACGCAAAAAAAAGAAGAATCTTTTGTCATACCTTTGCTTCCAATTTATCATTGTCGTGTTTGAGATGATTGCGCTCCTGCTCCAGCCTCTCGACTTTCGTTCTGAGAATTTCCAGTTCCTCCTGTTCACAGAAATATAATTACTAGTTAGTTTAATTGAACCAGCTTTAAGAAATTTTTGTATATATATAGCGACTTCGAAAACTGAAACAATCTGCAATATTTTTCTGATAGTAAAGGGAAAATATAAGAGAAAGAGAGAAGAATGTATCTTTGTTGCATAATTACTGTAAACTATGTTTTATTGTAACAACCTGTTTATAATAATTTTACTGAATTTGTTAATTTAGTATTTATGTTTCACATACAATTAGTAAAACAACGTTTATTAATTTCGTATTTAATATTTAATATTTAGTGTTTGGTGTTTAGTGTTTGGTATCTGGTATTTGGAATTTGGTATTTGGTATTTGAAATATTAATTAATATTTATTTTGTTTAGTTTGACAAGTAAACAATTGTTTTCATTTAATTTATTTCCATTAAGTTTACCATCTATTAAATTTCTTTAGAAAACTGTATCAACAAATATTCATATTTAAAATAAATATAAATCTATATTAAACATTTAAACGGTATGATAAATACAATTGCAACTAAAAAATTAAATAAAAATAATTCACATTAAGAATAATTATAAACAAATTAAAATTATTAATAAAAAGAATAATAAAAATAAACAATAAAAAAACAATAAAGAAAAATGAATAATGAAAAATTATTCAGTTGCAAATATTAGATATTTATGGCATAAGAGAAAAGCAGGAAATGGGAATATGAGAGATCATAGACGGAAGAGAAGGGGGGTAGAGAAAATGAGGATAGTAGAGATCCGTTTAATAGCGGCTAGAATAGATGTGTACAGTAATAATTAAGCGAAGTTAAATGAAGTTAAGTACAGTATAATGTAAAATTATATGCAACACGAGAGACACCCAAAAATTCAAGAAAATAAGGCTAAACAAATAATTCTTACAATTATATAATATTATATGGAATATTATAAATGCTTTTGCAAAATGTTAAAAAATGTAATTTCATTCTGCATTATGTATTTGTAAATCCTTAGCTTATTTATTTATCTATTTTCTTTTAACATTACACTATAATTCTTTCTGTTTTCATTTTAAACAAAAATTTCCCAAATAAAGTATAAGTCTTTACATAATATACAATTCTATATATAAATATGTATCAAAATATCACATATATTTTCTTATTACTTTACTGAATTAACAATTTCAGTAACCTTAAGCATTTTCATATTCATATTAAGAAGCATATAATAATTATATAATAAGAAATAGTATTAGAAATAATTATAATTAAATACAAAATGACAATAATAAGTATAGTGGAATAATCACTGAAATTTGAAGGTCCATGTTACTGAACATTACATTCTTTACAAAATTTGAGACATTAATAATATATCTACTACATTAAAAATTATCAATCCTGAATTTTAATCTTTAAACAATTTTTTGGATCATATTAGATACATTATACAAGTTCACCTATGCAAGATGAAGTATATTATTAATAATTGCTAAGTTCCAACTACTAAACTGCAATATTCTCATTTGACAAAGGAAATGTTTGTTCACCGAAATCACTGAATTCGTTATGAGAACGTTATTTGCAAGCATCAAATTATCTGTTAGAGTCAGTAAAATTTACAATATAAGTTAATATAAAAATAAGGAAGAAAAATTAAACGCAATAAATATAACAAAAATTAATAGTTCATTTGTGTATGATAAATTTCGACGTGTAAAATAACAATCCTGAACAAATTGTATACTAAAAAAAATATATTGTCACTATATTGTTAACACATTGCGTACGGGTGACGAGATATCTCGTTTCCAGGTTTCTTCGACTTAATCAATGATTAGTTGCGACGGGGGTCACCATTGAATTACCGATGGTAATAATAAAAGTTTCTAAATATTGACATTTGTTTAACACGTTGACTGTCATGGGGGTCACCGGTGACCGGCACTCAACTTGGCGGTGGCGCCACGGGGGCCACCGGTGACCGGCGACGCGACCATTAGTAAAAATACATAATTAGAGTAAATATCGATACTGATAAATTTTTAAATAGTACCATTGTTACTATAATGGTTCGAAGAAATTAATGCCATACAGAACATGCAAAAATAACTTTATTTATACAAAGAAAAGGTGAACCAAAATAGTCGGCACAATATGTCGCCACTTTTTTAGTGCAATTCTTTGCTCTCATTCTTCTTAGCTGATTTGAATTATTTTCATAGCACACTTTGCAAAATCGCCTTACATTTCGCACACTTCCAGGTTTCTTTTTAAATTTGTGACGACGTTTTTTCTGTACGTAATTGTGTATATTTCTATCAATTTGGGCGCGCCGGTCACCGGTGGCCCAGGTGGCGCCACCATCGCGTTGACCGGTGACCCTCATGGCATTCAACGTGTTAAATGAAACAATTGTTGGATTATCCATAAACTAGTTAACCTATAAAAAGAAAGCCTTCTTTATTCCTATATCATTAAATCAGTTATTATATTAATATATAATATTATCCACAAAGAAATTTTTTTAATTTTAAAAACAAAATTTATTTATTTTATTCTTCCCTATATTACTATATTAATTATTATGTTAATACATAATATTATTATATTATTATTGTTGAACAATTAGTATTATAAGTTGAAGAAAAATAGTGAGAATGGTTGTCATTTTAAAAGAGCTACAGATTGTTCCAGTTTCTGCATTATCTTAGCTATAGTTATATGGAAATGGTGCTACACGTTTCCCTTGCATGACTATCGGTAGAAAATTGTCAGTACATAAAAATAGAAGTCGTGTTCTCACCGTCTTCGCCTTCAACTGATCCTCTGTTCGATGAACGTTCAATAAAGGTGCAACTTTCACATATAATCTCCACCAGGGCCATTCTCTTACGGACATCCACTTCCTAACGTTCCTCTGTATGCACCTAACCGCCAGATCTTGCAGCTGAAAGGATGTAATACGTAAACATAGTGATGGGCTTTCGAATCGTTTAAAAATACGGGCTATTGTTGTAATCCGGTCTATAAAAATCGACTTTTTGGGATTTTTTTCTGAGGAAACCATGATACATATTGATATGCAGTTTTCGCACTCAGATTTGTTTATACTTGAAGCATATTGATAATTTTTTTTTAATGAAAATAATAAAAATTATGGAAATTATGTAACCTTGGGTAAATCACGTTTTTAAAAATGGGCTCTGATGGCTGACGTGATTCCGGGCTATTTGGTTGTCGAAAATGAAAAAACCAAAAAGCATTTTAATTAGTATAAATACGACTATAGCATGAACAATCGAAACAGCGAAATTTTGAAAATTAAAAAAATGGCGGCATTTTGAAGTTTAAATATCGATTTTCCTTGTGCTTTTCGTCTTTGGGTGGTAAACAAAAATAGAAAAAAACATCAGATTTTAAAATTCGTGGTTCACGTGATGAAGGTACATCCGATGAAGGTCTCCTCCAAATTTCGAGTCCATTGGTCAACTAAAACGCGAGATATCCCGTCAGCCAGTTCAAAAAATACGGTTTCGAGAAAAACGCGTTTAAAGTTTTCGTTACCCATTGTACAACATGTACACGCCGCACTTTAAACATCCATAACTTCGTTAATTTTACGAATTCGAAGAAATCCTTTTACACAAACATTTTCGAAAGCATACACTTCGAAAAAATGTAAAAAAAAGAAAATCGATTTTTTTAAACTGGATTGCAACAATACCCCCTTAAGTTTCATGGAAAGATATGACATAAAAGGATGAGACAATTTTAAATTCGGCATAGAAAAAAATTCTGTGTTATTAGTTTCTAAAGAGTATTTTAAATCGTAATACTTTAGCTCCTTTTCGATGTGATTATAAGGTCGACAATGAATTCTTTAAATATAGTGTTAAATATTATTTTGTTTGCAATATAACAGAAAATGATCACAAATACAATTTAGAAATTGTACAAGAAATTAATCTAAATTAAAAATCTTATTTATAAATTTATTTTATAAACTCTTATTATTTTAAGAATAATTTTCAGTAAAAAATAATATATGCATAAAGATACAAATATAGATAGTAGTATACGTTATATTATGTTCATATGCAATAATATCATAAAATTTTATTATAAACTTCATTAAAATTTTATAAATTTTTATTATAATATTGTATTTCGATACTACTCTCTTTTAGAGTCTCCCAAGTGGATTCAATTAATAAGATATTGTTCTTGTTAATGGCAAAATTCAATAATTTTTTTCTACATTCATAACTATAGTCTACAAAATCTTGCTTAATTATCTTTGCAATTATTAATTTTGCTTTTTTTTCATCTACTAATCTTATCATTATTGTTATTAATTTATTATGTATTTATTATTGATTATTGTTATGTTTCTAGAATTAATCTTACTGATCTATTATGATCAGGGGCTTCCTGTTTCATTAATTTATTAATAAATAAATAATATTCAACATTAATTTTGTAATATATTAGATTCATTTACTGAAAAAGATTCAGAAATTAACAAACTTGTGAATATTCTTGGTCTTCTAAGATTATATATGAGCTGTTCATTGTACAAATTGATTAACTCCATAAAACAAAAAGTGGAGAAATGTAATGAAATAATATATATTGTTTTTTAAAATTCCCTTTATAATTTAAATCGAAATAAATATCGTAGAATGCATAAATACAAATGTAACTTTCATCTAACGGTATATAAAATTTATAAGAAAAAATAGCCAAAAGGTAATCGTTGGTAATGTTACCATTTTTATGTTACTGGAAGAGTTAATCATTAACTTCGTTTTTTAATTTTTACCAGTAAGTGTATATTATAATATTATTATTACAAAATTGTATACTAATATTGTATTATATACGTATAATAATATCATATGCATTGCAATACAAATTTTAATTTTAGAAACCAATCACGCGTCAACAGTTCTAAAAGAGGTAAATTTAAAAACAAAAATAATTATTTAATCAACATTAATACCAATAAAGAACTTTTAAATAATTTAAAACTTATTCACATTTAAGAACAAAAATGCATTTTTTTAATAACTCAGAATTTTCTTCTATCTTTAATATACTATTAAATGTTAATAGATGTTAATATGTAAATTGGATTCTATGGGGCTCTACCAACTACACAGAAACGAGTGAAAACTTTGTGTTAATATTACTGCTGAGAATATATGAAACTTTAAATTATTGTTCAGTCTTGTGTATCTTTCTGGATTTTTAAATATCAAGGTATTCAACAATGTGTTTTTCTAGAAATACTAAGAATTATACAGTGGAATATAATGCACGTGTTAAGTACCGTGAAGGAAAGAAAGTAAAGTGTTCAGAGTGGAGACTTGTTCGAGCAAATAATTTTGCAACTTTCAGGCTGTAATATTTTTTAAACTAACAATTTTAAATAAAGTCAAATAAAAACATGTAAGTTAACCCTTTGCACTCGAGAGGTGAGCTTCAGTCACCATTTTATAAAATTTGGAAGATCGATATTAATTAATATATCAAATTTAATTTAATGTAACAGTGTGCGAGGTATCGAAATCAAATAATTCTATAATTATATTATATTCTATATTTATATTATTTTAAAATAATTCTTTATTTACTGCTCAAAAAAGCATCGTCAGATTTTTAGTAGAGAATCTTTGAATTTCTACTCTTCTCTAGCCAAAAAGTCGTCGAGTGCAAAGAATTAACACTGTTTTCATAAACAAATGGTATTCGTCATTTTAATCAAAAATATAGTGACTCGTACAAAATAAAATTTTTAGATGAATATATATTTAAAAATGCAAAATATACTAATATTAAGACACGTTTTATTTTGTAATATTCCACTTCGTCAAATAATACCCTTTTTTAATTTTAATTTTAAAAATACCGCTTGTCATAGTTATTCGTGACGCCCTATATATGGAAGGATGTGTTAATGATTATCTCTTTCGCTTGTTGGAAATTACAGGATATATAAACACATTATCGGAGACCAAAACTGCCACTCTCTAACACGTAGCTAAATATAGATAGTATATATCGACAATAATAATTAAAGTGTATGATAATGATGATAATAAAGATGCATAGTCAAATCAATAAAAATCATTTTTAATTTTTGTCGAAGATAGCAATATGTTTTGAATATTTAGAAAAAAAAGATATTGATTTACTAATTTTAGTATTATCATAATAATCAATTTATGTACAGGAAGTTCCACAGTGTTTTGGTGTCAAATGTTGTCAGTGTATTCTACGTGTTTGAGTAAGAAATAAATATTATGATTACATTTTTAACCCTTCGCACTCGAGAGGCGCCTTTCAGTCGCCATTTGATAAAATTTCGAAGCTCGATATTAATTAATATATCAAATTTAAAATAATGTAACAGTGTGCGAGGTATCGAAATTAAATAATTTTAAGTGTTAATTATTGTACGATTTCTTATTTAGTGCTTCAAAAAATATCATCGGCCTTATGGCAGAAAATTTGTCAACTTGTGCCCTTCTTTAGCCAAAAAATCATCGAGCGCAAAGGGTTAATATAATTAATATAATTGTATTGCTAAGAACGATGGCCGTTTTGAAATAGACTATTAGTTGGAATAGACAAAAATTTAGTATAATATTAAAATTATTATTTGTATCAGTAATTAGTATTAAACAAAAATCAATATTAATTTAATGACTTCAGATATTTATATTACACTAACCATAAGTTTGTTATTAATTCCTTTCAAATTTTGTATTTTTATTACATTTGACAAAAAAAAAAGAAAAATAATGGAAAAAATGGAACACCCTTTATTAAGCAAAGATTAGTATTAATTTAATAACTTCAAATATTTATATTACACTAACGATAAGTTTATTATTAATTCCTTTCAAATTTTGTATTTTTATTACATTTGACAAAAAAAAAGAAAAATAATGGAAAAAATGGAACACCCTTTATTAAGCAAAGATTAGTATTAATTTAATAACTTCAAATATTTATATTACACTAACGATAAGTTTATTATTAATTCCTTTCAAATTTTGTATTTTTATTACATTTGACAAAAAAAAAAGAAAAATAATGGAAAAAATGGAACACCCTTTATTTAGCAAAAATTAGTATTAATTTAATAACTTCAAATATCTATATTACACTAACGATAAGTTTATTATTAATTCCTTTTAAATTTTGTATTTTTATTACATTTGACAAAAAAAAAGAAAAATAATGGAAAAAATGGAACACCCTGTATATCTTAGTCAGAAATGTATAATGTATACTGAAGTTAAAAATAAGAAATATCGAAATAAGAATAACTTACTAATTAATGGTAAGTAACATTTTATAAACATGATGGTAATGGAAAGCATACTGAAAAATTGATTAGTATATGACACACCGATGAAAGCAAATCACTCATGCAAAAACGAAGTATTTGGTTCAATATTCGTCATTAAAAAAACGAATCTGTTTAACGAAATATTCATCATTGCTAAATTAGCTTACTATAATAGCAAATATACTTTCACGACTCGAAGCTTAGATTTTCTAATTTAAAAAAAAAAAAAGAAATGAATTGTATAACAAAATTTTTCAAAATAGTGATCAATAGAGAAGAAAAATAATAAATAAATAAACAAAAGAAACGAAAAAAATTAAAAAAATTGATTTATTACATATTTATTAAAAATCGGATTTATCAAAATTTAATTAAAAAAGAACACTATTCTAAAATTATATATAATTATATAATGTAATCATTTTAATTAATTCCAAATTTAACGAATTTAAATAATTTTAACAAATAAGTAACTTGATAATTAATTCACATATATATAAAATTACTAAGAATTTAATTAAAAAGAAAAAAAAAATTGTTTATATAAAAAAGTTTATTAAGTCGCGTGACGGAAATAAATAAAGGAGCCACTTCGAAATTTCTCGGGATGAGTGAAAACTACCGTACGGGCACGCAAGTGAAGGTGCACTTTTACAAACTCAAGAAGATGTCATGACATACTTTCAAAGTGTTGAGTTTACGACGTGCCAGATAACCCCTACACCTTGCTTGAAGAAGAATAATGTGTCCAGTTAGCTTCTCGTCTCTCTGGGCCTCCAGTCGCTCCAGGGTACCCGATCTGAAAAATATCTATCAAAGGGAAACCGAGAGATTAATTCGACGTATTCGATATATTTCGTATCACCGTAACTCGTAACTACTAGCGATTAACGTATCAGTCATATCGATACATTATTAAACAATATCGTTCCATTTATAATTTATTCCCTCATTTTCTTTTTTTCCTTTCTAAATAATTTATCGTATCTATTAATACTTTTAATATTTTTAATTTTCAATATTTTAAATACGATTAACATACTAATTACATATATATACACTTCTAAACGACATCGTTTCGTTTATACTTTATTCTCAAATTATTTTCTTTTCTTACTTTTTAAATAATTTAGCGTGTCTATTGGAAAAATTTAACGGTTAAAGTTCAAGCAAATATTAAATACGAATATTCCAATAATACATGGAGATTTATAAGACAAGAAACCAGTCAGAGTTAAAATTAATTGGTATAATACCATACGCGTAAAAGCAATATCGTGTTTCATTAGAATTAATTGAGATGGCGCTAGCGTAGCGGTATGTACTAGAACTCGCGGGAAAAAGAATAGAATAGAAAAATGAACGACGGATAAAAGGAACGGGGATATCCCTGACACGATTTTCACGATTACATTCCATGCGAAGTTACATTATGGTAAAAAGTACTCTCTCTAAGGAGCAATTAAACAATAAAATGCCACGTTGCTACGAAAACATACCGTTCTGAGGCTGATTCTAACCTTACTTTCGTAAGTTTTATAATTATTCGACACGAGTCATTCGATCCCACTACGAGCACATAAATTAGTATAATCAAAATTGCAATTATTTTCAGGGTTATTCCGTTAATAATACTCTTTGGTTACCTATTTCACAGGAAAATGGTGAGAGGTTATGTTTCACGTATCTCAGCGAAATTTACGAGATAATCCATCGTATCATCTGATCTGAATTATCCGAAGAGTAACGTTTCTTACAAAATGAAGGCGTAAGTCTGAATTATGAAAAATATATTTTATCTTTTAATTATGTCAGTGAAGTATTCGCCGTAAGAAATTTCTGACTGACACAACTTCTTTGGTCTCATTCCAGGGTAACAGTTGTATATAATGTTTCGAGCCAGCGTAATTGTACCCACTTAGGTGCTCGCAATCAACGTTTATTATCTCGAATATTATCTTGCTGACTGTTTGTAAACATTCTCACAGCACTCAGCTCGCAACGATTTTCAGGCCGTTCTCTTTATAGGAGAGCAGTTCGAGTCGAAAGTTGCAAGAGCACTTTCTATCAGGAAAGTTGATCGATTGGTAACTACAAAAAATACGATTTAATTCTATCAATTAAATGAAAATGTAAACGTTTACTCGACCCTTTTTCTTGTTCTTTATCGACGAATTAAGTTTTGTGGAACGTCTTTGGAGATTTCACTTATGAATATTCAATGTGCCACGAAATTAATATTTCGTAAATATTTTCTAAAAATTTGTCATACATTATGTAATGTTATAATTTTTTCATACCAATGTAGTATTTAAATTTTTTCATAGCATTTTTGCAATTTTATTTGAAATAATTCGTATCGATATTTATTATAATAATTAAATATAATAATATATTATAATGAGATTAATATATTATTATTATATTTAATTATTATAATAAATACCGATCCGAATTATTTAAATAAAATTGCAAAAATGGTAAGAAAATTAATAATTAAATATAATAATAAATATCGATCCGAATTATTTCAATAAAATTACAAAAATGGTATGAAGAAATTTGAATTATTTCAATAAAAATTCAAAAATGGTATGAAAAAATTTATCACCTTCAAAAGTTATGATAAATCAAATTTTATAAGTGAAAGATAAACAAAATTTATCTAGTCTGAAGGAAAATATTTAAAGATAAAAGAAAAATACGAAGAGTATTATTATATTTATAAGAACAAAGGTTTTAAATTCGTGGAAACTTGCAATGTTTAATAAAAATGATAGAATTAACAACAATAAATAATTATTCAACGTTACAAGGAAAAAATTTACGTCTTGTAATGTAATTTGATATTTCAAAATTATTTTCCAGATGATGTTAAAAAATTTATATAAACTGATACTTTATAGGAGAAAATAAGAGACAATATTAAATATCTGAAAATTTAAAATGAATTTAACGAAATATATTCCATCTAAATTCCATCTAAATATATACGTTATTCAGATATAAAGTACTATCTATCTATTTATCTTTGAAAGTAGAATATAGGGTAATTCTGGTAATTAAGTGGAACTGCGATACTACTCCGAAACGAAGAAAGAAAATGAATGGCAAAAGAAAGCCCTATATCAAGTATCACGAAATAATTAAAATACCCGATTTTGAACAATCAAGGCATCATTAATCTCTTTACAAGTACATTAATATAAAAAGAACGAGATTATCCTTCTTCTGAAATGAAACCATATAATGTTTTTCTATACTTCGATTTCTCTACTCGTCCTGGATATGAAAGGATGTAGATCATCGAAAACCTAACATTTTCCGGAGTACCTCTTACCACTTTTCAAAAAATTAATTACATCGGTACGAAATTAGAGATTCACCATTAACCAAACTTACCAATGATACGATAATTAATAAGAATAAACGTTTATTATTACTAATAATAATAAACTAATATTTATTCGAAGTAATTAGCATAAAATTAAAAAAAAAAATCAATCTATGTTCAAATATAATATATTTCCATAAACAGAAAAAAGGAAAATTATTCAAATATAGAAAACTGTATCATTGCTTTCCCTAGAAATACGTATATTTTCCTTATCTTAATACGATAATTAATAATAATAAATTAAGATTTGTTCCAAATAATTAGCATAAAATTTTTCGAAAAGATCAACGTATATTCAAATATAATATATTTGCATAAACAAAAAGAAAGAAAATTATTCAAGTCTAGAAAACTGTATAGTTGCATTTTGCTTTCCCAAGAAACACGTATATTTTCCTTATCTTAATACGATAATTAATAATGATAAAATAATATTTGTTCCAAATAATTAGCATAAAATTTTTCGAAAAGATCAACGTATGTTCAAATATAATATATTTGCATAAACAAAAAAAAAGGAAAATTATTCAAATCTAGAAAACTGTATAGTTGCATTTTGCTTTCTGCAGAATTATATGTTTCCCTTATTTTATTTTATTTTATTTTATTTTCTTAAGCCAATCGAGAAAAGAACTATAGAACCCAATCTTAAACACCCTAAATACCCCAAGTGCTCTAAAAAATTCGAAATTCCCCGAGTCTCCAGAACCTATCGCATATGGGTAAAGAAGATGATCTCGTCAGTCGAGTTATCATGGAAACCTAATCAAATTAGCAATGGTTCTCGATAAGTATCTAATGTGTCTAGAAGGCCAATAATTACGCGACGGACCTGTCGTTCGTCGTTGTAGGGTCTGCAAGCTTTCCACTGGTCTTTACCGGCGAGCTCCTGGGTTTTCGCGTTCTCCCCCTTGCAACTGTCGATGCTGCTGGCCCCGCTGGAAGTCGATATGCTGCCTCGGACCACCACGGTAGGCTTCTTCTCTGGCTCCAGCCTGCTCACGATCGACGTAGCGTCGAACACACCGATCTGACGGATATCGTTCTGTTCGAAAAACCGTTCCTTGCCAAAATCTCGGCTCTCACTTTGCACCACGCCATCCTTCCACTCAACCTCGTTCTCGTTGCTCATATGCCCACTGTCTTCCGAACAATTGCCATCGGAAGTGTACCCATTGTAATCGTGTATGCTTTTCACGTCCACGCTCTTCTTCAGAGTAGTCATCGACGGCTCGATAGTCGGTGTGTCAGACGTGGACCTAGTCTTGATCCAAGGATCTTTCACTTCCTTCGAAGCTTCAGCGTTCTTACAGTTAAAGAAGTTCACCAGATGCTCGATCTCCTTGGTCCTCTTGCCCACAGCCTTGCTTTTGGCCTCCTGTCTCATCTCATTGTTCCTCTGGCAAGCAGGCTTCAGAGACTCACTATTGGTAGCTGGAACCACCACGTAGTCCACTTTCTTCTCAGCTGATGATCTGTCTTCCTTGATCATAGACCCATTGGCCTGCTTTTCCCAGTTCTTCCTGAGCTCCTTGATAGTCGACGTCTCCTTTTTCTTCTTCGACTCCTCGATGACATCCTGTCTGTCGATTTTGTCGATATCCAACCTAGTCCTCAATCCCTTGGCAGAATTCGGCCCGTTCTTAGCCTCCTCTTTCGAACTGTTCACCTTCTCGTAGTTGTCCATCTGCTTCACTGAATCCTCTGGCTTTTCCAGGCTCTCCTCGATCCTGACCACTGTGGCGGTGTACTGGTCAGGCTGAAGGAGCTTCGCATTCGATTCATTGCTTTGTTTCACATCGATCTCCCGTACCTCGTAGACGGAGTTGGCTCTACGAGGAGGAGCAGCGTCCACGCAGTCGGTAGACTCGACCATCGTCGCACGAGCGTGCTCATCGTCATCGACGTCGTCGTCTAGCTGCGCCATCAGCCGCGCCACCCGTTCCTCCAGGTTGCTGGTGTACGTTCGGGTCGGCTGACGGTTCTCCATCGAGCAGCTGAACGCCTCGCGACAGTTCTCGTAGATACGCTCGTCCATCGAGCGGTCCAGGTCGACGTCGTTGAATGGCACCGGCTGCATCGTCGGCTCCACGGCTCGATCTACCTGCGATAGATCGGCCAGAGATCGACCCACACGAATGTTTCGATGCGCCAGAAGCGGGATCTTGCTAGGCCTCGAGGACCCCCCGAAAGTCCTTCTGCCTGGAGGCTCGTTCCTCGATATTGCCTGAACGCTCCACAGGCTGGCGGACCTGTTGATCGCTTTTCGACGTGGAATTTCCTGCTTCCTCTCCTTCTCCGTGATCATCGGCTTGCTAGACTCGCAGCTGAACGAACTGTTCATCCTGAACGACTCCTCGGACCCTCGGATGTCCACGGACACGCAGCCCAGGCTGACGGATCTATCCAGGGAGGCCTTCTTTCTCAGAGCTTCGGGCTTTTTCGGCAATTTCGCAGGGGCGTAGGATAAACCCTTTTTCAAAAGTGTCCGATCTTCCAGGATCGTGCAGGATGACGTGGAACTGATCGATCTCGTTACTTGCCTCTTCTCTGTTCGCATGATCGTCGACGGGCACCTAGCAGTCTCTACGCGACCGTCAGCAGGCGTCGAGCGACGAGACTTGCTCGGGCAGGAAGCTCGAGTCTTTGTTGGCTCCGCGGAAAAAGTCGTACGGGCACTGGCATGGTCGTTAGAGACGATCTTGGCAGTTGTTCTAGGAGGTGCTGCAGTTTTTGTCACTCTCGGCGACTTACTTGTGGGAGTGGATCTGCTCTGGTCAGGTGTAGCCTGCTTTCTCGGGATCGACAGGGGTGCTGCTTTCGACACGTTGGGGCTGCTCCTGGCTTTCACCAGTCGCGACCCCGTCGTCCCTGGCCATCTGTTCACGTTCTCCAACATGTCGACGGAGTGACGATACGTTCTGGGGAGCAATGAACGAGTCTCGTCGATCGATTACCGGGTAGGAAGCTGCGACAAACTTGCCTCGTGGACACGGTCAGAGGTGTTCCAGTGGTCCAACCCAGGTTCAAGCCTTGCTCATTAGCGTCGCACTTTCTCGTACACACGCGGAACTATCGTGAGTCTTCCGGCTCGGAGGAACACTTGCTAGTCCCCGAATAACCGACGATTCTCTTCGCTGACAGTCCACCACGCACGACCTCGATACAGCAATCCAAAGCGACTTTTCCGTCCAGTTGCTTCAGCAGCCGGTGCTCCGTATCCCGTCTTCCTCTTCCGCGCCGATCAGCACCGGCATTTTTCTCGAATCAGCAGCCGTCATTGGCGAACACCGCTCCTGGACAACAACCGTGTCGTACGTTTCCTGCACTCGAACACGTTCGGGAATGGACCTCGCTGAGGCTTCCTCTTGCGTGGAGAACGAGCCGCGACTAAGTACCGTAAAAGCCGCGTAAAAGTGGACGCGCGTTTTATGGTCACAAGGAAAGGAGAGAGATAGAGAGAGAGAGGAGAGAGAGGAGAGAGAGAGAGAGGGAAAAGAGACAGGAAGGGGAAGGAAGACAGAAGCAAAGGGGAGAGGAAGGGTATAGAGAGTGCGGAGAAAGGGAAACACGGAGAGAGAGAGAAAGAGATGGAACAAGGGAGCAAGAAAGTTAGAGAGAGAGAGAGGGAGAGACAGTCTATGTGCCGCTTCTTCCTGCATCTTCGCGACAAACTCCGCCGACAGGGAGATGGAACCGTTTAATACTCGACCGGTGGTTGATCATTTTCATTGAACACGACCGTTTCTCTCGCCACACGCGAAATATTAGCTAACCTAAAACCATCCGTACGGTTTTCGTAACGGCACGCTTTGCTGCTATTGCTTCCCGGGGGTTATTCGGTTTTGCCTTCGGGTATAGTGACCCCTTTGTAACGCTATACAAGTTTCTTTTCATCACGTTTTTTACTCTGTCTTTACAAATACGAATTGTCTTTTTGCGGTTGACTGTTTTACGCGTTTCAATGTAGAATCGCTAATTACGAATGGTGTACCTAATTAATTTCCGAAATTATTGCGACACGATTTTCGATCTTTTAATTTGTCTCTAAATTAAATAAGATGGTCCGTTTTCTCGTGATCATGAAATTTCGTGGTAGGTGCAATTTTTAAAATTTGTGAGATTAATAGTAATTTACAAATTGCTATTATTGTTGATACTGTAACACTGGTCTTACAGGCCATTTTGAAATTTTCCAGCTGATGTTTCGCGTCATTCAAACCATTTTTGTGCTCCTCCTTTGCATGCCAAATAATCGTTTATAGGTATTGCACAAATTTTTCTGAACTTTGAATAGAGTAATTTTTTCTCCAAAATTTGATTTAAGACCCGTTTCTAGATCTTGAAAAATTGTTTTACTCATCCTGATGCATGTGTGCAATGAAGAAAATTGTTTACATTGGAATTATAAATATGAAAATGAGATAGTGAATCGAAGAAAATTTCATGCTCCTGGATTATATAATAATTGACGATTTATAGGGGCGATTTGCAAGAGCAGAATTGTGATGTGTAATACAAAATTAGAATATCGAAATATATTTTACAAACTGTTTGCTGGTGTGACAGATACTTGGCACGAAATTACGGAGAATGTGTTAGCTTTGGGAACAGGAAATACTGGTTTTTTGAAGATTTAAATTAGCAGTTAAATATTACGTTATAAATTTTGTGCAACTTCAGTTATAAACAATTATTATAAACTTGGACACTCAATTGGTATCATTGTATCACAGGTGACCACAATAATTTAAATTAGATTAAACAATTTTAAGATACTTCATTTTGTTTTTATTTTATAAAATTAAATACTCTAAATTGTATGATAAACGTTAATTTATTGTAACATTCGAATGTTGAATATTAATCTTAAACTTTTCATTGCAGATAACAAAGTACTATAATAACGATGCACTATAACAATTTCAATTTACTAATACAATTTTCGAATCTCCAATTATGTATTTTTCATGACAAAAATAAAATATAAAATTCGAAATATGAAAAGAAAATTACATAACCTAAAATTGTATACTCGATATTAAAAGAGAAGGAATCTAACGTAGTATGCAGTGTGTTGAATACCAGCCCTAAATTATCATTGAGTCATAGATATTCATAATTTAGTTAGATTACATAACCTCAAAATATTTTATTTTGTTTTTATATACTTCTCACGAGGAAGATTATTAACGAAGATTATAGTATAAGAGATGGGATCTGAAAGTTACATAACCTAAAATTGTGCAATCTAACTCAAACTTGTGTTCACCAGTGAGTCAATGACGCGAGTTGAAGATTGAAAAAATGTTATAATGAAATTGTACTTTATTATTTAGCGTTAAAAATGATCAATATTTGTAAATTTTGTGATTGAATTTAGAAAATTTAATTTTCGTAGAAAAAGTTGCTGGAAAAATGATATTAGCATACGGAGAAGCTTATGTTTGAAGGGCAGTTTGATGGTGTTTGAAGATTTTAATGCTCTTAATGTTTCATTATAGAATATATTAAAAGAATGTTGGAAGAGTCATAATTTTTGAAAATTACTGGGAGATAATTGGTGATAAATAACAAGGTAGATAATACTTCTGATGTAAATATGCTGTTATTCATCACCTGACGCGAATAGGAAAAGTAAGGAAGCTTGAGAGACTGAGTTGGCATGAGTTAAGCGCCACGAAGAAGCCAAGATAAACATAAATAGTCACTTTCGTTTATTTCGAAAAAGTAGACAAGATGGGTTGAAATATGAAATATTTCTCTTGCTATTTTTCCCATTTTGGATCTTACTAATTACTATTTTTATAAATGGACAATTTTTTAAAGAGTAAAAGGAATATTCAAAAAATTATTTAAATTTTAGAGTTAATGAATTTTATGAATGAGGAATAAAGAATAAATACAATTATTTTTAATTTCCTATTTATAAAAGAATAAATAAATTTATGTGAAAATCATAGTAATTAAATATCAAATCATATCAAATCAAAATTCTATTCCAAACTTTATTAAAAACATATATATATTTTATATGAATTAATCTATTAGTTATATTAAAATTGTGTTTTAAATTTATTACATTATGTATTGATAAAAAAAGAAAATTTTTAACAGAAAACGACTCTATTTTTCTAAGAAAATAATTATTTAACCCTTTTACAGTGTGATGGCAGAGAGAACTGAGAATATCATCACATCCTGTAAAATATAATATTGTTTCAAGTTCTACTGTATAAAAATTAATTATTATAATTTATTACACACGATTAATTGAGATTAGTATTTCTTTTACACAAGATATCATGTGTGACATTGACAATAAAAATATTTTATGAAATTATTAGTGGATTAAGTATCTCAAATATAATAATAAAAATACAATGAAGCATATTCATAAATATTTATTAATTCATAAGTAATAATTCATTTATGGAAAATTGTCTATTATTCTTTTTGCAAAAGTAGACTAATTTGTTGCTTCATTTACTCGGCTACTTTTAACTTTCTTCTGATAAATTGGGACTGCAACATTAAGGAGGCAAAAGGAATATAATAAAATAAAATGCAATATTCTACTAATTAAATCCTCATTTTAAATTAATTATTGTTTAACATTCTGCAGTTCATCTCAGAAAACTCTTCTTTATTCATACTTTGAGAATGAAAAAAATTTCCCTTACATAAAATTAATTTAATTTAGAACACCTAGTAAAAGAGAAATTAAGTTGAAATCACACGAAAGTGATGAAATATTGCTACACATGCATCAAATGAATTTATAAACCTATTTAATTTGCAAAGGAACAAAAATGATTAAAATAATTGCAAGGCTGCGTAAAATTATATAAAAAAAATATTAATCGTAAACTCGAAATGCATAAAAATATTTTATCCAATTAAAATTTGTCAAATTTTTTTCAAAATATTGCAATGCAATCAGTGAAATTTCATTTCCTACAGTCCCCCAAATCAAGCATAAACTTCGGTCGACACCTACTATACGATACACAGTCGAATGAAGAATGTCGATTTATCACGACAAATAGAAACGCAAACTAGCCGTTAAACTAAACGCAAAAATTCAATACTGCCGCGCGACATGGAACCGGCCCGTAAACTTCATTTCATTGGCGGGATAAGAATATTCGATGTCAATCCGAGCCTATACACTAGCCCATTGAAAACCACATAAAAGTCTCGAAGCATTTCGAGCGACGCAGAGGGCATGCGCAGCTCGTGCGAGACAACCGTCGCAAATTTTTACGCGAATTTCCACGCCTATGTCTACACGAATTTCCACGCCATCTCTTACAGCGGTCCGCAAACAGGCGGATGTCGAGCGTGACCGATGAGATTTCCAACGAAATTTCGTCTGCGCACATAATCGCCCGTCCCGAAAAGAATCCCGTTACGACAGCGACTTTCTATCGTTAAGCCAAAACGCCGTTCGATTTGTCGTTCAGGAACGTCAAGAGCAGACGTTAAGCAAATGAACGGGGCTTTATGATCGAACGACCGGGCAGAACGAGCAAATGCTTTCGGCAGGATAATTCAAGCGAAGATCATCAGGAGAGTAGCGCCGTGCGCGTGCGCACGAGAGCTCGAATGCGAGTCCGCTACTTCCACAGCTCGATCTGTATTTACCGTTATCGAACTTAAAAGGTACCACACAAGCCATAGACTATAATTGAGAAATCGACGATTCTCCCCGCCACCTGTTCCTCTTCTATCTCTCTGTCTGTGTTTCTCCGTCTCCGTCTTCCCACGACCGAAAGAACAGACGTTGCTCGGCGATACTTATAAGCGGCTCGTTGTCCCCGACGATGCAACGTTTCCTGCCGATTCGTTTGTTACATACCTATACTTGACAAAACAAACGCGTTTCACTCGCTCGTTTCGCGAAACGACTCGTATCACCGTCGATAAGTCGTCCTCGATGCTTCGTTACACTGATATACGGCTTTTCGAAAGCGAACGACTAGAAACCGTCGTGTTAGTTGTTAGGAAATCGAAGTTCAGAGGACACTTCGATCGCGTGTCGCGTCGACGAGCTTGACCGAGACGGACAAACGTCGCATTATTACCCGAACACCAAAACGGAAGCACTGGAAAGTCAAACGACGCGTGCCGGTGTGCGCGTGACCGAACGAAATGTTAATGGAACGAAACGAAAGTGAATAGAGACCAAGTGTTTCCAGCCGACAGACCAATGGGACCGAGGATGAGTGAACCGATGCCCCTGATCGGAATCGAGACCAACCGCGAACTGACTGAGTGCAGAAAACTTTGTTCGAGTCAGGTGCAAGTTCCTGTCCCCCACCCTCGCGCCCGGCGAACCCCCTCCCCCCGCGACCCCCATCACGGTCGCGAGTGGCGCTGGCTCAAACAGTTTATTCCCTTTTACACGCACTGTCTTGCAGTCTCGAGAAAACAATCTAATGGGGGAGCAACGTTAGAATCTTTGCGGCCGATTATCTCGGCGAAAAGTGGGAATTTAAGACAACGCTTCCAGTCAGACGTTCGTAACTCGAGTACCGTTCAATTGTTTTACGTACCACGATGATATCGCGGTATATTTTACCGATTTTTCTTTTCGTTTTCGTTCTTTCACGCGTTCACTGTCAATCAAATTTCTGCTACCTACAGCCTGTGACAAAAACATAAGACATCTAGGAACATTTAGCGATGCTCGAAGTGAATATAACGGAAGTGTTTTATACTGTTCTACATATAAATTGCGCTTTTTCAGACTTGACAAGATTCTGGTGAAAAATCGCTTAATAACACGCGTGTTTTAGAAAAGATATGGGATCTCGCATAGATCTGAGTGAAATTTATATGAAATAATAATTTAAAAATAATTACTGCAAATTACGTTAATTATTAAGTGATAGGGAATGTACTCCAAACAATATTATATTTATTTGGTGGATTAAATAATAAAATTACGGAATTAATTATTTGATGAAATAAGGTTTTTTTCTTAATTAAAAATTAAAAAAATTTTTTTTAAATACTATTCACACGCAATAAGAGTATTGAAACAGGTTACTATAACTTGTTATACGTATTATTTATTACTATATATAGTTATAGGTTATAGTTATAATTATAGTTGTAGGTTATAATTATACAATATATGACAATAAATTTTATTAAGTTTATCAAAGAGATTTATTAAACATACGTGTATGTAATAATACATTTTTAAGTTGTGTAGGGTTATAGAAAATTTATAATACCAGTAAAATAAATGTTATACGATAATTACAAACTTTTAAACAGTTAAATATTTTTCTTTTCGTTTTCTTTTTTTTCAACAACACAGCTATGTCAACCAACCTTTCCTGAATTTATAAACCAACTCATGTTCCTAGTTTAATTGTTCACACCATTATATGGCTAACAGTAAAGTTTAAAGACCATGGGAGAATATACCGCTCTAAGCAATAACTGGTTAATCTACGTCAAGCAGGTAAAAGAACACCTAATTCAAAAATTATTACAGTAGTCTCTCATTCGATGAAAAGTGAATACAGGTAGACGTTTACCTGAATTCCACTTCATAACTAAGAAAGTGATTTATACCAGTCATAAACCTTAATAAAACTTATTAAAAGGAAGGAAATGTTTATTGTTCATTTTAAATTGAAAATTTTTTATCAGAATGGTCTCTGAATTATAACACAATTTATGTACATACAATGTTTAATATTTTTTTATTATATTAATACAACTATATTAGTATCAGTCTCTGAATGATAACATACATACAATACTTAATATTTTTTTATTATATTAATATAGTTACATTATGTATGTATAATATATTATATTAATATAGCTATATTATATATGTATATATATTTTTAAGTGATTACAATATACTTTATTTTTTAATATTTTCAATTGACAAGAAATACATGACATACAAATTAAAATTTTTAAATGATTATAATTAAAACTATATACCTTATCCTCCCACACTTCTTAATTAAAATATTAATTAAAATATTATCCGTTGTATGTACATAAATTATGTTATCAATCAGAAACTATCATACATATATATTAATACAGTTATATTATATATGTATGTACATAAATTACGTTATCAATCAGAAACTATCATACATATATATTAATACAGTTATATTATATATGCATATATATATTTTTAAGTGAATATAATGTATACGTATACTTTATTTTTTAGTATTTCCAATTGATTTTCAAAGAAATAAATGATATGCAAATTTAAATTTTTAAACGATTATAATTAAAAGTATGTACCTCATCCTTCGTCACTTTAATTAAGAATCATCAATTTCAACGAAGATTAATGAAAAAGTTTAGCTAGGGTACAGAAGATACGACCCCCCTAGCAGGAACTATACTTTTCACCTTTTTCTTGGTCATATGGGCTAATGCCACCCAGTAAGCGGAACAGGTCCGCCATAATTTCTATCAGATTTAGTGTTGCGCTCGAGCCGTAGCATCCATGACTACCCAGGCTTGTGCCTGTACCTCAAAAACCAGCGCATCTATCTCCCAGCTCGCAACTACCAGGGCGTGACAAGATGGATAAATTGCACCGTCGCCTTTTAATCAGTTCATTCGGCTAAGGCAGCGAAGACAATCCTAACTGTTCTGGCTGCAACAAGTCCTGCCTACTCTCGGGCCTTTTTTCTCGTCGAAATGGGCTAATGTCAGCGAACCAGTGGAACTGGCCCGCAGGTATAGAAGACATCGGCTTAACCCTTTCTTTATTAAACTTGATTATAGTCATCTAAGGTCGAGTGCTCATTTTATATCAAAGGCGAGTGCAGTTGCGCAATGTCAAAAACTCGCTCTGGACCAAAAGTGATTATAGTCATCCGGCGATGGGTGATTCATGGCAAAAGTGGCTACGGGGACATGTCATTTCGGCTCCTTAATTTATATCAAAGGTGACTTTAGTCATCCACTATCAAGAGCTAGTTCTTTCCATTAGAGATGATTATAATAATAAAATGTCAAGAACTCATTGTATATCTAAAGTGACTATAGCTAGCTGATACTTAGAATATGTGATGACTATGCTATAGTCATCGAAAGTGGTTATAGAATCTTCATTGAAGATGACTATAGTTATATAATGTTGAATGTTTGCTTTATACTAAAAATGATTATAGTCTCACAATACTAAGTACTCGACTTATGTTAAGGATGACTATAGTTATCTTACACTGAGTATTTCTGAAGTGTATATCTAAAGCGACTATGGCTAGCTGATATTTAGAATAAGTGATGGCTATGCTATAGTCACCGAAAGGGGCTATAGAATCTTCATTGAAGATGACTATAGTTATATAATGTTGAATGTTTGCTTTATACTAAAAATGATTATAGTCTTACAATACTAAATGCTCGACTTATGTTATGACTATAGTTATCTTACACTGAATATTTCTAAAGTGTATATCTAAAGTGACTATGGCTAGCTGATACTTAGAATAAATGATGGCTATGCTATAATCATAGAAAGTGGCTATAGTCATCTAACATTGGCTATTAAATCTTCATTGAAGATGACTATAGTTATCCAATGTTTAATGTTTGCTTCATACTAAAAATGATTATAGTCTCACAATGCTAAATACTCGACTCATGTTAAGGATGACTATAGTTACTTTATACTGAGGGTTTGCGTTATACTAAAGGTAATTATAGTCTCACAATGCTAAATACTTCACTCATATTAAGGATAACTATAGTTACCTTATATTGAATATTCGCTCTATACTGAAGGTAATTATAATCACGAAAAGGCGAATTTTCATACTATATTAACACGTTGATTGCTATGGTGGTCATCAGTGACCGGTGCAGCTCCTCAGTGAGGCCATGGTCACCACTGTCCGGCAATACTAATTTTTTAAATTTATATTTGTTTTATTCTAACCAACTAGAAAATTGCATAATTTTCATTAATTTCGTTAAAAAACAAAAAATTGTAAATATTCTGCAAGTATAAATAAATCTAAGTACGAAAACTGCGTAACAAAACGTATCATCGTTTCCTCAGAAAAAAATCCCAAAAGGCCGATTTTTATAGGCCAGTTTGTTTTCCACAATTGGAATTTGATTATTCCAATAAATATCATATACGTGTCATAATTTATAATAACATATAATATATAATATTAGTTGTGCTTTCTAAAACATTAATTCAAAATAACTCGTAAAATATACTCTTTCAGCTCACTTGTCCTCTACAGTGGTAGCCTATTGAAAGCTGCATACCACTGGTACCCGACAAAGGGGTCCCCCTGACCGTAAGGAGTATTATTTTTGGTCCTATTCTTGTCCATATGTTCAAAATACCTCAATACCTCATGTTAAGGGGTTATAACGCAAAGGAATAGTAGTCAATGGAAACGGTGGAAAAACTATATAGATCTTTATTAAACGGGCGAACGGTTAAATCTAGCCTGGTCACGCAGGTCACAGGACTTCTCCAGAAAACAGGAGACAAAAGACAAAATGCAGGGGAAGCCCCGACATCGCTAGGATGTACTATGCGTGGCTCAAAAGAAGTCATCTGAGGAACTTGTAGGACCGAGTCCCCACCAACCCAACCGTTCTAACGTCATGGCAGAAGTAGAGTAAAGCGCTTTCCTTATTGGCAGAACTGATCCCTTCCTATTAGCTCGGTCATGGAACACCATGTGACAAAGAAAGCGAACGAAGTAACGAGACAAAGTGAGACAGACACAACAAATAGACGCAAGAGCGTAGACTCATCCCAAAAACATATTAACTTCAGATTCTACCGATGAACACGTGATTATTTGCAATTACTAATTACTAATTAGCATCTTGATTAACTTTTCATTGCATTATGCTGCAAACGTGCTGTACTGTACACATATTTTTTATATTTATGTTGCATCGTATGATTTTTTAAACGGTTATCTAGTACGATGCAATTACATAATTAATTTATCATAAAAGATACATCTTAAATTTTAAATCAATTTTCATAAATGATGTTAATTATTATTACTTTCCTACTCCTTTACCTTATAAATCTTCCGAGCTATTGTCATCTGATTCCTTATCCGACTCACTGCTTTGTATTTCCAATCCTAGGTCTTCAATTGCGTCTTCTATTATTCGAGTGTAAGAATTTTACGGATATCTTACGCCTATGTTAACGTATCACGTTACCGAACTTGGAGGTAGTAGTTTTGGGAGTGTCATAGAA